TACCAAAGCTGCGTTTATTTGATCAAAAATACAGTAAAAATAGTTTTTTACGTGAATATATGGTAAGGTGTAGTTTATTTCTGAGATTTTCAGCATCATTACTCCAGTCTTCAGTGTCACATGATCCTTCAGAAATCACTCTAATATGAGGATCTGATGATCAAGAAACATTTCGTTCTGCTGAGCAAACGTGCCGCAACAGTTCAAGTACGTCTTTCCCACACAGTCAAAAACACTCAATATGGCATCTACCCTGACTAGCCCACAAGACGACATCTAGACAGGGTCTTGTCCAAATTTACAGTAAATTATCACCAATTATTATCAAACAAACTAGTGTTACGTGAGAAAATAATTGACATGAGCTATGTAAAACGCATAAAAAGCCAAACCCCTGCATCTGTGGACATGCATGAGGGTGGCGTGTGTGTGTGTACCTCTCCCGAGTGCTGCTCTTCATGCCTCCCTCCAGCTGCGTGAGCATGTCCAGCCGCTGGTTGATCTTGGCGATGACGGCGTCCGCGGTGGCGCCGGAGGACAGCAGAGATCCTCCCGAGAGACCTCTCTTCATGCGCTCGCTGGAGCCGTACCCCCCGCTGCCCCCGAACCCCCCCGACATCGAGTCCTTATAGCCGTACAGGTCGTAGTTGCCCGAGCCTGAGCCAGAACAGAGCACGATCATCCACAGGACCACACGGAGACACAGCTACGGCTATGCGCTACTAGCGCCATTTATTTGTCGATAACCGTTTACAACGTTGGTCAGCATGCACAAAAACGAGGACATTTTCAGTAACCAATGTAACCGAAACTAAACGGCTGTCATTCAGGAGTCATTAAAAGATAGATGTAATGAACCCAGGTGTTCATTATTTTTTACTCTGAGCTCCACTTTTCACTTTTTTTAACTCTGTTGCCGCTAACGCCATTCATGGAAAATACCCATATGTTAAAAGGATGATACGACAAATATTTCGCTTTCCTTGGACACGGCAAGCTTTCACGAATATACTAGAGCCAGACCGATAAAGGATTTTAAAGGCCGATACGACACAAATATTTTTTGATTTTAAAATCCGATATATCGGCCGATATTATTATTATTATTTCAGAAACGCACAACAAAATATTAACAGATTTCCCTAACATTAGTTATTTATGAGTTTTAACGAAAATAATATGATAATGCATTTTAAAAAGAAACTTGTTTCTATTGTCTCAACAGAACAGAGGAACATCAAAATATATTAAAGTTCTGATAAATAAAATAATAATTAGTCCCTACATTGCCTTATAGTTATAAGTAGGGTTGGGTATCGTTTGAATTTGAACGATTCTGATTCCGATTCCGCTTGTTTTGATTCCGGTTCCTGACGATTCTCGATTACGATTCTTTTAAGAGGCAGGGTCAAAAAAGTTTAGCTAACCTCGCTAACCAACGGCCTTTCTGAAGGAAATAATCCTTTCTGATGGATACTCCTTCTGTCACAAATACTCCTTTAGTCACAAATTTTGCATTTTGCCGAGATTTCGTTATTTTTAGAAAAGTGAAGCCACACTTTGGATCGCCGACGTAAGCTACTCATGTTCGACTCGCGCGGTTATGCCAACACTTCCGGTAGACGCTTCTTCGTTGGTGTTGTTCAGCGGTTTCTTCTTCCGCTCGGCGGACTGTGAATATCAAAACTAGGAATCGAAATTTTAACTTTTGAACGATTCCGGGAAAAACAAAAAGTTAGTCTCGGTTCCAATCGATACTCGATCCTCGATACCCAACCCTAGTTATAAGCTACCTTATAATTACAATGTCAGCTTGGTTATGCCTTTACTTGCACCTTTTGACAACACTCGTGACATGGTTGAAGCGTGATCAGATTCGTCCGTCTTTATTTTATTTTTGAAATATTCATTTATCGGCCATTATAAATGCCGATACCGATATTTTAGAAAACGCCTAATATCGGCCGATATATCAGTCTGGCTCTAATATATACTTGACCTCAAAAACTGATGCAGGTAGGCCTAATCGCAGGCGCTCAGTCGATCTCTTATTTAGGCTACGGTCTGTTCAAATCACCACGATAAAGAGCCTTGTTATCATTATTAACTTATTTAACATTCAATATACATGCATGAAGTTTAAAACAAGGAGGATATAGTCTAATGAAAGAAAACATGACTATCGCGGTTGCTTGCATTCCCCTGCGGTTGGCTTGTCGGTAGCGCGGTAATACAATACTGCGGTTATCGCGACAGCCCTACACACACACACACACACACAACTCTGCTGGATAAATGTAAAGCGCGTCTCACCTCGGGACGATCCTCCTCCTCCTCCTGATCCTCCCCATCCAGAGAATCCTGACGAGATTAGAAACGTGAACATAATGCACCGCACACATCTCATCTCAAAGTACTAGCGACGCACAGATATGAACTTTCAGGCCGATAACCCTTTAAAAGCTGATGTATTGGCAGATAAATCTTAATTTTGTAATTTATGAAAACCTGATTACAAAAAATAAAGTCTTACCATTAAAAGCACACAATTAAATAGGCCTATTATATTTCATTATAATGTTATGTAGCCGATATGACTGCACGTCGCATTTCAAGCTATTCAAAACCATCATGTTGAACAGTCGCATCTGAAGAGTCTCAGAGTGAGGGAATAAAACATTATTGATCAGCTTTAATCAGCCAAATGTTCTTATAGTGCCGATAAAGATGATATTAAAAATGTGTGTCGACCAATACCGATATGGGGCCGATGTGTTGTGCATCCATACACTAAAAGAAGTCGTCGCTCTTTCAAAAGTTGATAACCCGACTGTATCATAATTGATGCAAGAATTTGAGGCCTCTAAACGATATTTGCACTCAATCTCCTCCAGTGCTTCTGTGTCAGATTGAGTTTAGACTCTTTTTTGTCTGTATAATTGTACAAATGTCCTCTTTCAGCTCAAGCTTGTGTCTTTCGCTGTCAAATCTGATCTGATTTTATCAAGGAAACACAAGAATAGCATTGATATTGTAGGTAATATTTCAGCTGAACTGAAGCAGATTTACTTGATTATCCAGACATCATTTATTAGAAAAATCATGATTATCAAATATGATCATCAGGCTTATATCTCAATCAACATTGTACTCACATTATATTTTAAAACTACAAATCATAAAACAAAGCATTAAATACAATTTTACTAGATTTTATTGCAAGATATTGACATGCAATGTGTCTGTTATAAAATGATCTATTGTTTTATATTACAAGCCTCAATTTTTTATCCATATAAATATCAGACCAAACATGAACGCCTAGTTTGGCCAGGCCACTGTCCAGAGTAATTAGGGGGAGGGGCATTCACTCAAAGTTACATTTGATTGGACAGAAATGTAAATTTGACCGTTTAGTTTATACATGATGAGGTTGGCTATAATTGGCTGTTTTCCTGAGAGAAAGCGAATGGAGTTGAACTTAAGCAGGCTACACTACATGAATTTAAAGCCACAAAAAAGAACAATAGCATGAGGTCTTTAAGATGGCAGTCACAACTGTAAATCCCGTAGATTAACACTGATATCAAAACAATCAACCGATTAATCGCACAATATCGCCGCATCATGGACACGGCAGCCATTTTACGACAAAACGCCCCCATCGCACCGATCCGACATCAGTCTCTTTAATAACCGTGAGGGGAGAAAATATGGCGATTCTTCTCTTTCGATTCGCCATTTTAGACGCCAAACAGCAGTGTATCGCTCGAGCAATCGGGCCTCGTGCAAAACACTTCGCAGCACAAAATCACTCGCGCAAAAATAAAGATTTCTAGTTTGACCAATGTGGTGATCCGATGATGGTTTGTGGGTTTTTTTTTTTCGAAAAGCGCGTTCGTGCTTCCGCAAGCAGACAATAACAATGGGATTTACGTAGATACTTACAACAATCGACGAAAATGTGATTTATGTATAAATACTTACACAAAAGGAAAATAACTGATTAATAAGGTCTATATGAATGATTAAAAAGTCGAAACTTCATTTTGACCTGCGCCATTTCACGCACACGGCGAATCATCGAACTGTTACTCAAATACACAGTAATACATGATGCCAGCATACAAACGATTACATTAAACACAGAAACATGCTTTTATACGGTGAATAAAGATTAAATCGCTAACCTGAAGAATATCCGCGATCCATCCTGCAGCAGTGTTCAGTGTAGGTGTGACTGAAAGCAAAGCGTCAGGCCACTCCAGTATCGGGCCGCACAGACTCCGCCCACTGAGGGGAACTGCCACATGATTGACGGGTGAACGAACCAATGATCGACTTCCAGCGGCCGGAAGCAGCATTCATCATTTCAAAACAAAAGTGTGTATTTCACTTCACCGTCTGGGATTTGTCTGTGATTCGTAGCAAAGCTGAGAAACTAGTTCCTGTAAATGTACTGCGATCATTGATATGCAAGAGTACTTTGATTTTTAACATTATTCTCTCAAAAGACATTTCTATCGATAGTCTGGCGTTATAATGTATTTGCTTTTGGTGTACTAACTGTGGACTGGGTAAAACTGGTTTTAATGGCAGGCTATGCGAACTATTCAACTGGAACGGCACACAGGCTAACTTGGGCCCGATGTCCACAATCCTTAACCACCCCTTTATAGTAGCATTAAGTTCTTTAGTTGTTTCATTTACATTATAGACACATAATCAATACATTTAAATGTATGTATTATGCGTCTATAATATAAAATTATAATTATAATCAATTGATATGTTGGATAAAGCAACATGATAATGACATTGTTGTTGTTGGTTTTAATGGTTTGAGGAACTGATTTACTGGGGTCACGGTCTTTATCATAGTCCTTAAAATAACGTTTGTGTGTAGAAAACCAGTATTACCAAACCTAAAAATATTCGGGTTGTCTCAACATGTAAAATGTGTACAGAAAATGTAAACCTGCAAGTGTATTCAGCCAAAGTCTGATTTTATAAATAATTTTTATTAAAATTTCACAAAATAGACAGAATTTCAGCAGAGCAAGTAAAAAGACTATATCACCGAGCACCATTTGATATATGTAAGAGTATTCAAAGACAAAAGAGTGATTCAGAGAATAAAAGAGCATTTTTGGTCCCCACATTACACATAAAGAGGTGTAAATACACTGTTTAAATACTAAACTAAAGCTCAAAAATCCCAAAACATTCTGGCCTTATAATATAACATATCTCTGTCGAGATGCACTTTGATTCGCCTGTTAGTGTTTCGCAGACGAAACCGTAACATACACAAACACATCTACATAACGTGTGTTTGCATGCAGAAAATCCTTCATGTTTAACAAACCCAGCCAGAACCAGTAGTGTGAGAAACACATGATCATAAAACCAGAAAGAACCATCATTTCCCGGTGTGATTGCATCGATCAGCGCTGATATGAAGACAGAAGGGACGCGCTCAGGACACCGACGGGCGTATTCTCTTCGCCGCCTGCTCTTCCACTGCAAACGTGTAGTTATACTGCAGAGAAACATCTGCTCAACCACACACACTAACATGGGCTTCAAGATAAAAGTCCTCAGCAGAGCCGGAGACACAAATCTCTGCAGTGTTTTAAAACCATCTGCTTCAATCATACAATTATTATGTATTATCAGAATGATTGAAGCACTGAAGTCTCACCTCGTTCTCAATGTCCTGCACTGATTTGATCCGGATGTCACTCAGTGTGATCACAGACACCTGACACACACACACACACACACACACACACATCACTGTTCAGCTGTTATTGGTCACTTGATTGTGATTGGTTAATGAAAGCATGAGATGTACGCATGTATAATATTTTTCAGGATTCCCCAGGCTAAACTCTGTAACAACTAGCAACTCTTTCTCCTCACATTATAAACTCACTTCCTGTACTTTTTTAGGGTTTACTGTGCCATGATGACCAGATGTGTGATGCAGTGACCTCTGACCTTTGTGTTTGACTGAGACTCAAACTTGGGGTGTAGAGTGAAAGGAACACCATCCATCGCTGAGAGAACAAACACACAAGAGTGAGTGACGTGCTTTTACTCATACCACATGTGTTTTAGATTAGGAAATCTAATAATGCATGAAGTGTATATGATGATAAGTACATATACATACAGGAAACAGATTGAAAGGATCATGTAATAAGTTTGTCTGGCGCTGTACCTGTGATACCGTAGATGTTGCTATGGTTACCGTTCTCATACACTCCCTCTGTCGGCTTGCTCACGTCAAGCTTACTGCGCCGACGGGTGACTTTCGGTGGGACATCGGGAAGGTTGCTATGGAGACAGACAGTCAGAGGGAGAAAACACAGCAACACCCTATCAATCACCCTAAAACCCACAAAGCAACACCTTAGCAACCACCCTGAATTATCTAGAAACTACACAGCAACACCCTATCAATCACCCTAAAACCCACATAGCAACACCCTAGCAACCACCCTGAATTATCTAGAAACTACACAGCAACACCCTATCAATCACCCTAAAACCCACATAGCAACACCCTAGCAACCACCCTGAATTATCTAGAAACTACACAGCAACACCCTATCAATCACCCTAAAACCCACATAGCAACACCCTAGCAACTACCCTGAATTATATAGAAACTACACAGCAACACCCTATCAATCACCCTAAAACCCACATAGCAACACCCTAGCAACCACCCTGAATCATATAGAAACTACACAGCAACACCCTATCAATCACCCTAAAACCCACATAGCAACACCCTAGCAACCACCCTCAATTATCTAGAAACTACACAGCGACACCCTATCAATCACCCTAAAACCCACATAGCAACACCCTAGCAACCACCCCGAATTATCTAGATACTACACAGCGACACCCTATCAATCACCCTAAAACCCACATAGCAACACCCTAGCAACCACCCTGAATTATCTAGAAACTACACAGCAACACCCTATCAATCACCCTAAAACCCACATACCAACACCCTAGCAACCACCCTGAACATCCTAGAAACTACACAGCAACACCCTATCAATCACCCTAAAACCCACATAGCAACACCCTGGCAACCACCCTGAACATCCAAGAAACTACTTAGCAACACCCTATCTATCACTCTAAAACCCACATAGCAACACCCTAGCAACCACCCTGAACATCCTAGAAACTGCACAGCAACACCCAATCAATCAAACCCACATAGCAACACCCTAGCAACTAGCCTTAACACCCCCCAAAAAAACACATAAATGCCTAACCACAATCCCAAACACCTTAAAACCCACACAGCAACGCCCTAGCAACCAGCCTGAACAGCCTGTTAACCTCATAGCAACACAGCAGGAAGAGTGTAAGGCTGCAGGTGTTGTGTCAGCACGAGACTACAGTAAGAGCAAACACGAACCACTAGATGCGGTACAGCGACGGAGCGCAGGCGGCGACTGGCTCAATACGCGGCTCTCGACACACAGCTGATTTGCATCGGCCTGATTTAGCAGTCAAATCTCCCAGACACTGGAGTGTGTTGGTGAGGCGTGAGGTCCGTACCTGGGTTTGAGCGGCTGGGGGGGTCCGGCTCCGTCCAGCGAGAGACTGCGCAGGTCCAGACTGACACTGCGAGGCTTGGCCTGAGGCCCCGGGCTGGAGATCGGGCCCTTCAGACACCACACCACGAAGCCATTCATGTCCCTGACGCACACACACACACACAAACAAACACTTAAAGGGATAGTGCACCCAAAAATGAAAATAAAGTCGCACTTTACAATTAAGTCCTATCTGTATGTTCACTTGGCCGGAAGCTGGTTATTTTAGTTTTAAATATCGATTTTTTTTTTTACACAAGAAGGCCTTTATTAACCCCCGGAGAGCCATGTGGAGCAATTTAATGATGGATAAATGCACAAATTTTCATTTTTGGGTGAACATCCCTTTAACGGTTGAATAGAGCGTCTGATATAAGAAACTTATGATGACGGGTCTGATATGAGAAGTGGCGAGCCAGCATGTAGCGTGCTCACCCCAGGCAGGTGTACTGCTGAACCATGGCCTTGTTCTTCGCCGTCAGTTTGAGATCTAGAACCGCCATCGTAACCATGCCCACTGGAACCACCCGCACACAGATGCGCTTCTTCTTCCCGACAGACGCTTCTGCGCGCACACACACACACACACACACACGTTTACTCTTCCACAGCATGTCAGTAGGTGATTTCAGAAGCAGATCTGTCCAGTGAACCGTCTTACTGGGCTCCAGGTATTCTGGGATGTAACAGTAACCGTGAGGAATCGCCTCTTTATCCGACAACAACAGCACATCTGCCACGACTATCCCACCGGACGCATCCTACGAGACGGAGGCAGACGGGAATTAATTAATTGCTTATTCCTTGAGTGAATTAACCCTCTAATGCCTCTTACCTTAGTGTAACACAGGAAGTATCCCGACTTCATCGCAAACCCTCGGATGAAGTTAGCGGAGCCTCCATCTTCCGTCTGACTGATCTAAACATGCATGCACACGGTTAGTGACATCATAATGCCATGTGACCACAGGTGTGAGTGGTTGTCATGGTTACCAGGCTGAAATGACTGGGGCAGGTGGAGGTGTTGGACGCCCAGGCCACTCCAGTGATGGGCCTGTTGGAGGCGCTGGACGGATCGTACATAGACATCTACAGACAGACGCGTCACAAGGCTTATTAATGACGCGCAACTACGCCAGGTTGTAATTACCAGATTTCAAAAGCATTCAAATGCTTTCATGGATAATTATAATTATTATTTAACTTAACTATAAATAATTAACTAATTAATGTGATTAATTAACATATATATATATATATATATATATATATGTTTCTATGAGAACATATATACAATATATATATTGTTCCCTTAGAAACGTGTTATAATTCTATAATTCAAGTGTAGCTCCGAGTAGAACGTCAAAGTCCTTAGTCTCTGACGTCAAGTGACATCTATGGTAAATATGGTATGACTTGAACTCAGCATCATTATGACATATTAAAACTTATAGGAACACGAGTAAACATAAGATCATCATCTACAAAAACTCTCCATGATCGAAATTAATCTCACAAACAGTTTAATACTGTTTTCACTAGTTCATCAGCGCGATCTTCTTATTGTTTCACTAGTTACAAACTCACGATATAATCAGCCTTAACACCCGTATTTAAACATTAACCTGGTTATAAGCAGCTTTAATGAACGCGTGAGGAGAAATTCAGTACTTACAGGCAGTTGGTTATGAAGTTTATTCTTGATTCAAAACAGTGAAACTGAACTCGACTCACTCTCGCAGTCAAAGAACAGGAAGAACCTAACGACTACAAGTCCCACGATGCACCGCGGCGAAGTCACGACTACTGCGCATGCTCATAGATATTTTTCGTACTGTTCTTAAACCAGTTTCTCAGCGGACTTCTATGGGACCTCAATATGACTCAAAATAAAGACAAAATAGCTTTGAAACAACAAAAAAATCAAGATATTTGAACTTTTAATTAAATTCAAGATATTTGAATTTTCCCTGGAAAAGTCATGCAAATGAATAAAATCGTACAACTTCATTGGCATTTTTATGACTATGAATGCATATTTGAATGAATACATATTCATATTACATATAAGTTGTAAAAGTTCTAAAATAATTTCATCTGGTAAAAAAATTGTAAGGAAAATATATATTTTTAAAATCCTTATCCTAAAATCATGAAATGAAAAGGTAAACTACAAAAGCAAATATAATTTAAAATATTGAAATAACTATAATAGTATCTCAATGATAATAGGTAAAATAGGTAAAAGGTAAAATAAATAGAGAAGCAGTTCTTAATATTCATAGTTTCATATTGGTGGATTTTTGCTTTATAAATTGTATTCATTTAATTAAACATGTTAATAGCCATATTAATGTACTGAGTTT